AGTGTTGTGCATGTTGTGACGAGTGCCGTTGAAGCCGTTGAACATAAGCCGATGAGTATTGTGTACATTACGAGGAACACTACTGGTGGAGTTTGGTCAGATTACTCACTAGTTGTGCAAACTCCAGGGCGGTTTCAGCTCCCGTTGCCACAAAGGCCACCTTCTTATCTGGAGTGATTAGGGAGAGAAAGACTCTAGCGTTGTGATTTGCTTTGTGTGAATTCTCCGGCGTCATGAACGTGACCCAATCGAGAGTATCTTAAGCGTTAGGTAAATCATTGACTGGCGAAAGGGAGATGGTCCGAGCTGGCCGGAAGGCGGGTTTTGGGAAACTCCTCCGAGACAGGAAAGCAAGGCGTGTTCAGAGATCGACAAAGGAAGTGGTGTCGGGTTCGCCGGCGGACGTGTAATCCAGGAGCGATCTCTCGGTTGGGGAACCAGCTGGAAGAACGAATCCAGAGCGGGGTTGCGTCCAACGCATTCTCCCCGAGGGTTGTGCCGTTTGTAATGTATACACCCAACTTCTCAACATAGGGTACGATAAGCTGAAGCGCCATACAGTTGCGTAGTTCGCCTTCAAGTCCTTGACTGACTTGTGTCCATTCTCAAAGCGAACCCGTCGCTGGTTCCTCTAAAGCCGAGAGAGTGTGACTCATCCAAGGTAACCCAATGGATATGTTTTGATATGTACCCTTTATGGAACTACATCTTAATATGCGTGTTTATGGATTTTTTTACAATGTTTGTGTGCGTAACTGTGCTGTGACCCGCCATGAGCCACGAGGAGAGGTGGGAAAGATATCAAATTATTATTATTATTATTATTATTATTATTATTATTATTATTTTGCATTATTTATCATTATTATTGTTATTATTTTGCATTATTTATCATTATTATCGTTATTATTATATATAAAATTATTATTATTAATAATATGCATTACTTATCATTATTGTTATGTCATTATTTATCATTATTATTGTTATTATGGAGAGTTGGGAAAGATATAAAATCATTATTATTATTATTTTGCATTATTTATCATTGTTATTGTTATGTTATTATTTTGCATTATCATCATTATTATTATTATTATTATTATTATTTTGCATTATTTATCATTATTATTGTTATGCTATTATTTTGCATTATTTATCATTACTATTGTTATGCCATTATTTTGCATTATTTATCATTACTATTGTTATGCCATTATTTTGCATTATTTATCATTACTATTGTTATGCTATTATTTTGCATTATTTATCATTACTATTGTTATGCCATTATTTTGCATTATTTATCATTATTATTGTTATGTTATTATTATGCATTATTTATCACTATTATTATTATGTTATTATTTTGCATTATTTATCGTTATTATTGTTATTATTTTGCATTATCATTATTATTGTAATATTATTATTTTGTATTAATTTTGTTATTATGTATTATTTATTATTATTATCATTATTATTATTATGCATTATTTATCAATACTGTTATATTATTATTTTGTATTAATTTTATTGTTATGTATTATTTTTTATTATTAGTATGATCATCATTAATAATAAATAATGCATTATTAATAATGCATTAATATGCATTATTTATCATTATTATTGTTATTATTTTGTATTTTATTATTGTTATGTATTATTTATTATTATTATTATTATTTTGCATTATTTATCATTACTATTGTTATGTTATTATTTTGTATTAATTTTATTATTCTTATGTATTATTTATTTATTATTATTATTATTATTATTATTATTTTGCATTATTTATCATTATTATTGTTATGTTATTATTTTGCATTATTTATCATTATTATTGTTATGCTATTATTTTGCATTATTTATCATTACTATTCTTATGTTATTATTTTGTATTAATTTTATTATTCTTATGTATTATTTATTTTATAATTGTCATTCTATAGTGTATGTACTGCACTTTAATTGTCATTCTATAGTGTATGTTGACACAAGCCCCCAAAACCCTGATTGTGTTTAACAGCT